CTCAAGTGCAGAACAATGGGTGTTTTTTAGGTAAAAAAATAAAACAAAAGCTGCCCCATGGGGGAAAACAAAACAGGTGGCAAGACTTCAACTAGACTCAGCATGGACAGGAAACATAAGGCAACATCAGACCACGTTTACCTAGCCAGCACAGGACTACAAACACAAGGAGAATAAATAGGGGTAACGAGGAAGGCAGGAAGGGTAAATGAATGAATAATCAGGTAGCAAATTGGAGTCATGGAGGCATAAAGTCAAGAGAAAAGCCCACAGATACAGAGTCCATAAAAGCAACGAGACAAAATATTTCAACAACTGATTTGTTTCAGATTTCAATTCAGATTTGTCTTGGCACAGCTACTAGAAGACTTACAACTGTCAGACAGGTTGCTCACGTCACCTCTAAGTCGTCAAGCTCAGTTTGAGCCTGCGCAGTACAGTCTGGCATCAGGAAGTTAGTGCTTCTTACTGGCTTCACTTTTCTCCGTTGAAATATATGGGGTCACTGTGTCCATTTCTTTTACTGTCTATGGATGGGAGGGGCTAGACAATCAAAAAGAGTGGCACATGGCTTGTCATTTGTATCCTTGTGCTCACACCAAACATGACAAAAAACACAAGCACATGGCCAGTAAAACAAATCACAAGCCATGTTCACACAAAACGAGGCATGAACGTGCAGCCAATGAGAATACTCATAAGCCAAGTGTTCCACAAAACATGACAACATGAAGGCACACAGCTAGTGTAAACACGAGATTTGTGCTACACAGCACAAGACAAAACATGGCATGAAACTGCATGAAACAAGGCACACAGACAAGACAAAACAGGAGTGTCAGGGCTCTGTCACAAAACCAAGTAATAGACTAGACAGAAGTGACAGATGCCTGACACAAAGAGCTAATGTAGGAGAATGGTTATCATGCACAAACAGCAAGAAACTCTGTCAAAATCAATTCCGATTTGAAGCTTAAAGGGATACTCCACTTTTTTTGGAACTTTTTTAACTCCCCCAGAGTTAAACAGTTAGGTTTTACCATTTTCGAATCCATTCAGCCAATTTTCTGATATTTAGAAGAATATCAGTAACCAGACAGTTTTTGGTCTCATTGACTTCTATAGTAGGAAAAAATATATACTGGTTACTGATATTCTTGTAAAAATCAGAAAATCAGCTGAATGGATTCGAAAACGGTAAAACTCGACTGTTTAACTCTGGGGGAGTTGTAAAATGAGCCTACTGTATTTCCAAAAAAGTGGATTATCCCTTTAACATATAAACACGCACATCAGACAGATCCCTTGTTTAGCATTCATGTAAACACTATATTCTGATTCATCAATCAGAATGAATTCAGTCCGATTAAAACAAAGTTGTGCATGTAAACATAGCCATTGTGATTATCCGTTACCACAGCTCAGAGTATGAAAATCATATTCCCTGCTCTTAGCAAAGCCATCCATGAATTATTCAATGATCATGCTCGTCATGGTGCAGCGCCCTCTAGTGTCTGGCACCCTGGAAAATTGCCCAGTTTGCCCAGCGATCTTACTGGCCCTGACCATGACTATGGGGGCCTATTTCGCCCTTGACTGTCAGCTCATCCACCCACGCTGGACAGCAGCCAGGCCCTCAAGAGATATCTAGCAATCGTTTGTAAATGTCTCATATTTTAAAAAGTTAAATAATTATCTACCTATTTTCCTAAAATGACAACCTGATTCAATCGTGACCTTAGAATTCAATCGTGACCTTACAATTGCTATCAGATCTCTCTAAGACTTAAGGAGTATTCTGTTTTAGTGTCAAAATAGCCTCGGTTGAACCGTTTGAACCTAGCACTTCTCACTTTTTGGCCAGAATTTTTATAGAAACAGGTCATTGTCTTGAGTAGCAGTGTGTCCCACAGCATGGCTGGGTCAGAGCACCATTAGACCGCAACAGCTGCAGATTATGCACTGCTCTCACCAGGAGTTAGAGAGCAAAAATATTAGACTAGATGTGTGGGGGGAAAAACAGCAAAATTTGTTATATTCTCTAGGGGAGCGCGGGGCACAACCTAAAGCGGGGTTAAATGTAACATGGAGCTTTTACATAGTTCGTCAGGATCAAGCAGGCTGTGTTTACGATATTTTTCTCTTGCTGCCAGAAGATGGTCTCCCGCAAATTTGGGGAAAGTTTTGATAATATTTCGTGACGATACTGGACAACGAGTGTTTTGACACCATGAAAGTAATTTTTTTCATCATTTTTTTTTTTTTTTGGTTTCTGAGTTGGGTGTATACGTTTCCAAATCTAACTTTATATTGCCTTAATCAATGTCTTGTTGGCTCACACATAGCGCCGTTTTGAAACATGTCAGCAATTCTTAGCAACTGTAAACTAGGCTTAAAATATGTAATACACAGCGGGGTTAGTTGTAACACAGTATTACAAACAAGCCGCCAAGTGTACAACGATAATCAAATGAAAACAGGGACCCACACAACTTTTCAGGTTTGAGTATTATTTAACCACTTAACTTTGTTGGACTTTCTCAAACAATGTTGGAATTTAAAATGTTTAAAATTTCGTTTACTATGCATTGATTAATTGTTTATTTATTAAAAATATGGCCTGTTTTTAATGCAATAAACCCTTAAAATGTTGATTTAAAGCTCATTTGTATTCTTATTACTGTTATTATTATTATCAATAATAATTGTAAATGCAGCTGCCACTCACAAATCTAATTCAATTGCAATTACAATATTTTATGATTTTACTTATTACTATTTATTGCAAAACTGTGCATCCCTTGTCTATTTCTCTATCCATGATATTCCATAATAGATTATCCATGATATTCCATGTAACTTGGCGACTACAAGTAAACTTATTCTCCTAACCCAAAGTCTAACACCTGACCATAACCTAACAGTCTACTGACAGTCTACTATAATATACTAATACTCTAATAACAGTTAGTTGACATGTAGTTGAAAAGTTACTCATAATTAGAAGAACGTCTAAAGTGACTATCAAAATAAAGTGTAACCAAAATATTAATCTAACCTAATTATTTTTTAGTTAGTTGAGCCAAAACCAAAATGCGTTAGGTTGTGCCCCGCTCTCCCCTATATTTCTTTCTTTGCTATCCCATGATGTACAATTTATTGATATTTTTTTTTTCCTTCTCAAATATTAGTCTGCTTGGTCATGCTTTTTAACTGTCACCATTCAGTATACAGGCGGCCTAACTTTTCTTCGCTATTACTATTAAATCATAATCTAATTATTACAAACTATATATTGTTGGAAAGGTCTAAGATATGCTAAACAGATATTTGACTACTGTTTATTGCTACAAATTATGTAGGAAGAGTAACCAATGAATGTTTCAGTGCACCTCAAAAAAATCTGACATTCAGAAGAGTGCAACCAGAATCAAAAAACTGAAAAATTGTGAGCTGGGAGGCTCATTTTGACTGCTAAAGGTACCAAGAAAGTCATTCCTCATGATGAAATTATACTTGTTTAACAACAACACCAGAGCAAAGCCATTGCATTAACAATTAGCATTATTGGGTGAACCAATAGCATGACTTTGGGGAAGAGACTATCTGGTTGACTACTTACATTCAAATCTGAGGTAAGATTGGGAATTTTTCAGGTAGGATATATTACAAATGGTAAATGGTATATGGACTGCATTTATATAGCGCTTTCATAGACCTAATGGCCACCAAAGCGCTTTACATATTGCCTCACATTCACCCATTCATTCACACATTTATACACCGACGGCGGTGTCAGCCATACAAGGCGCCATCCAGCTCGTCGGGGGCAGCTGGGGTTAGGTGTCTTGCTCATGACTTGGTCAGGTGGAACCGAGGATTGAACCACCAACCTTTCGGTTTGTAGCCAATCCACATGAACCACTGAGCCACTGCCGCCCAAGTGACATAAGGGCATTTATAACCAGTGTTGGAATCCATTAGGTATTGAATTACTGTAATTTAATTACTTTTCCCTTGAAAACGTAAAGTAAGGGATTACTCTTAATTTTTCTGTAATTTGAGTAATTACTGTCAAAAATTTAATTTTTGGGTGAACTAACCCTATAAATACTGTACAGAACAATTATATATAAAACAATAGTGAATGTAACATCTAAATTTTTAATACTGACATTTAAATACATTTTTTGTATTTATTTGAAAGGATTAAAAAGGCAGTTTTATTTACATCCTTGTATTTTTCAACTGGCAGAGGTTGAAATTAGTGACTTACGCAACACTGTTCATAACATTAAAGATTTTAAATTCTATTTGAAATAAATGCTATAAGATCCACCAAAGAATCCTACAAAAAAAGTGATATTGGTTTCCACAAAATAATTGAAACAACTGTTCCCTTTCAAGGGAACTCCGAGCTGCATCGAACGCTGTGGGAATGCCCCTGCGTTGTGCGTCATGAAGCACGTATGGAATCAGTCCAATGGAGAGACGGAACATCATAGGCGGGCGACGTCATCGACCAGGAAACTATAAAGCACCCCGAACACTCAAGCGCATCAGCTTCAGTGCCTTCAAAAAGCGCTATATGTGAATCTGTCTGAGTGTAAACACTGTGTCTGTCTTTAGTATTTGCTATAGGCAGGAGTTATCACATTTACACCACACAAACACTTTTGTATAAGAGACTATGGCGAGCGAACAGCATTTAAGAAGCGTATTTCTCCCTGCTCACGCTATCTAATGGCTATCTGTTGTTTGTTTGGGAGTGCAGCATGCCCAGTCAGTTCTCGAGGGGGCTGACTGTGAGCCTTGTGATCGTCTGCCTTTATGGACGCTCCGCTCCCGTTGAACACTCTTTGAGGAGAGTGGTTCGGTGCACGCTCTTTGTGGTTCGGGTCCCGCTTCTGCCGAGGCTAAGCGGCAACGTTTAACGTGGGGAGCGCAAATGGATCTTTCAGCGGGGTTAGAGATGGTCTCTGCCTTATCTCTGCCTTTACCTGTTGGATCCAGTGTCTCAGTCCTGGTTCGGAAGTACGCTCTGCGGGTTCCACCCGGGCTGAGGTACCTGCAAATATCAACGCAATCTCATCCCAAAAAGTCATATAACTTTATAACGTTTTGGGACGTCTTTTGACCATACGTCAATATTCGCCTTTTTAGGGCCCCCTTAAACATCGGTAGATGAGGTTACGGGATCCTAACTCTACCCCAGACCTAAACCTAACCCGTCACCTAACTAACGTTAAAGGTAAAGCGTCAGTTGTATGACGGCCCGGGATCGCCATCTACCGACGTTTAAGGGGGCCCTAAAAAGGCGGATATTGACGTATGGTCAAAATACGTCCCAAGACGTCAGTTATATGACTTTTTGGGATGAGAATGTGTTGCAAATATCTAATAAAAAAAAAAAACTGAGATTAAAAAAAAAGTATTGACGAGGGAGATGTGGACATCTCGAGGCAGGAGTCTGTTGTTAAATCTAAGTTAGATGAAAGATTTCTCCCTTCCCGTGTGCAACCTCCACGCCGGTGCTTGCCGTTTTTTCATGATCTCCATACTGAGGTATCGAGATTATGGAAGAAGCCGGCTTCTGATAGAATTTTTAACTGAATAATAGAACTGATGGGTGGTCCCAACCAAGGGAGAAAGGTGTTCACCTCTTTTTATGGTGCCAATTCTTCCTCAGTGACCTCAGGGGCCCGTTCTGCCTATACTCAGCTACTCCATTCAGCTACTCACTGTAAAGCAGTTTTAGAAACTGTTGGGTTTGATGGCAGCAGCGTGAGGTGAAATGTATGCAGCGCTTGTGCTCTCTGTAGTTCTTAATTTGACCTTCCGATTCTTCTCATGACTTCTAAGAAATACATGTACTCTAGGCTCACTTTTTAGACAGGAGGTGGCAATAACTCAGAGCTAACTAAAATACAGATTAAGGAATCTCTCTTTCAGCGTAGAACATAACAAAATCTCTGCTGTATAACTTTATTCATTAAAAATGAATGAGCAAAGTTGAAATAAATACACGGTAAATACATTTGTATTCAGTCATTGGAGAAGATAAAACCATAGCATTAACACTTGAGTGATTCAGACTGACAGACGATATAAATACATAAAAGAAAATCACATCACATGATGAGCCACAAATATGCAAAAAAACACCCCTTACAAGTATCCAATTACGCAAGCCAAACCAGGATAAGTAGGGTGACTGATGTACACCCCACTAGTTAGAGGCCATTTACTAGCATGCTGCAGTATCACTAGACCTCCGATTGTGTCCTAAATGAATCATGAAACTGATGGCACAAAGCAGAATATTAATTGTAAAATAAATAATGTTTTTGTTGTTGCGACCAATACTGCTGTCAACCACTATTTAAAGAATAACCAAAAAACATGAAACATTCACTGACACACACAAAAATCACATTACCTAACTTCCTTTCATGCCTAAGAGAGGTTAAGAAAGGGTTGTCGACAATTACTAAACTACACTCAGCAAAACCGTGACATTTGAGCTCAAACCTTTCCTTAAAAAGTTTAAAGTTTATTTACAGCTACATTTAAAAGCCCATCAGAAAATGCTTGATTTAAGGAATGTTTCACACAGAAGCTTTTATTAACTGTGGGCTTCTGTAACCCTGGATACACAGCGCTGTCTCTTTAAGAATGCTGGGTAAGTTTGACAGCCTGTTTGCCAGGCTATTTTAGCTGAGACCAAGCCCCTTACTGACCTACTTTCAACAGGAGCATGGGACATTAGACCAGGGCCATGTTGAAGAGAAAATCCTAAAACATTTTAGTTTTCATTTCATATTGTAGTACAATTGAGCTTCTTGAACAAATATACACTGTATTATCCATAAAATCCACATATTCTAATACCATATAAAATGTTCGGTCCTTCACTCAAGCAGTCAGCAACGAGGAGTCTAAATTACATAACGACTAAAGATGAACAGCTTAACTGGGTTCATCATCGAACCCTGGTTCACAACAAATACTACACTGTACACACACACTCCACAATGTCATAATGTAAGCTCTAGATGTAAAGTTTCAGCAGTATCACTGCTGTGTGTTATGTTCCTATGAATAGTTTCATGAGAGTGAATGTGAACTGAATTGATCACTATCATTCAAAAATCCAAATTTAGTTGATGCACAACCCTGTTGGCTGTTAAAGGGGAAATGAAGCGGTGAATCAAGTTTACATGATTTACAAGATGGATTTCCAATATAATCAACAATTATATGAGAAACATTACAAATGTAAACATTTAGAAGAAAAAAAGAAAAAACTTTGTATCTTTCACCTCCAGGGCGCCGCCATTGTGCAGTTGACGTCACGGGGTTGGTTGGCTCAAGTTTAACAGGCTCTGGGCATTGAAAATCGCGACATCAAACTGTGTTTATACCAGTGTTTTGACCGCGAACGACTAATGTTAGGTACAGTTATTAGACAAAAAGTCTAATGTTATATGTTGACAAACTGCACATAGAAATATTGTTCGCGATGTTTGCGGTCACATATTCCCGTCTCGTCAACAACATGTAAGTTACGTTGCTATGTAGAACAGCCGGTGGTGGTTTGGGGGCGAAGAGCGGGTTTGCAATGCTAACCAGGTGTCAGTGTGGCTGTTGTACTGCGATGCCCTCCGTGTCGAGATGGGTCTGTCTGCGGACTTGTCCGTGTCAGAGTCCATCTGCTGTCAAGAGGTTGATCTTGAGCATGTATTGCGTGGTCAATTCTGCATCACCGGCGCGTTACCATGCTGTGCCGGGAGTTAGACGTGTGGAAGCGGCGATGGTTTCCCTGAAGGATGTCAGAGCGGAGACACTTTTTCCTAGTATATGTAGGCTGTAGCTACTAGCACTACCAGTGCGAAAATATGGACGTTTCATTTCCCCTTTGAACAATGTTTCTATGTGCAGTTTGTCAACATATAACATGAGACGTCGACTTTTTGTCTAATAACTGTACCTAACATTAGTCGTTCGCGGTGAAAACACTGGTGTAAACACAGTTTGATGTCGCGATTTTCAATGCCCAGAGCCTGTTAAACTTGAGCCAACCAACCCTGTGACGTCAACTGCACAATGGCGGCGAAAGATACAAAGTTTTTCCTTTTTTTCTTCTAAATGTTTACATTTGTAATGTTCCTTATATAATTGTTGATTATATTGGAAATCCATCTTGTAAATCATGTAAACTTGATTCACTGCTTCATTTCTCCTTTAATCATCATATATCAATATCATTGCCCATTATCTTTCAGTGAATGCAGGCTGAATACAGTCATAAATTGGATTATCAGATCTACAACTATAATCTACTCCAATCCGAAGCCCTCTGCATTTGAAATGGCTATAGTCAACTTTTGCCGTAATTCTTTCTTGCTCTTGTATGGAGGTAGACAAATCTGGTTGAAGCATGTATGCGACACTGGAAGCCTGCGAAGAAGATGAATAAATAAACTGTTGAGAATGAACATGCATGCAGTCGTTTTACTGTAATCAGCCATTGTGATGATTACCAGTCAGTGGAGACATCAATCTTGGAGATCTTGAAGTTGAGGTCGGCCATTCCCCCCACAGGAACGCGGTCACTTCCTGTGGTAAAGTGGAGCAGTTTCTTCTGCAGCTCCAAAGAAAAGGCCAGAACCACGTCCCAGAAGGCCCTGCAACACCAAAGAGAACAGTCACTTTTCTACCAATAGACATGCATTTGAAAGCATGACTATAACAAATTGTATACAAGACATGTACCGGATGGTGGGGTCAGTCTTACTGTAGCCCTCATACTGCACCACTCGCTGCAGAGAGCCCATGTCCAGATTAGGACTTCCACAAACCAGGATCTCAACCTCTTCTGGCCTCAAGAGCTACAAAAATGACAGATTTAATGAGTCCTTTTTTTAATGAGTCCTTATATTACTTCCATAGTCATAATTAGATGCATTTTTGTGGAGAATTTTTTTTAAATTTTATTTAAAGGCACACTGCGGAACTTTTTGGCCACCAGATGGTGCTCGACCTGTGACTTCCACGTCTAGCGTCACTAAAGGCCACAAGCTCCGCAGCACTGTCGCAAATTAAAGTCAACAAACAGTCAACCGGTCAGCCTCCCGTGTCTTTAGATTGTGTGTGCTTTAGTGTTTGAGGTGGGCAGCCTTGCCTCGCTCGATTCCCTTATAGCAGTCGACTGAGAGAGAACGAGTAGGGTGAGCTCCGTGGAGCTTATCATGTCTGTGAGTGAATGTGGGCGCGGGACAGCGGGCACACAGCAGACACATTCACTGCACTGAAAACACTGTTGGCCAGAGCTGACTGTAACGTTGTGTGTTGGTTTATTTTTACAGAAAAAACGTGGGACATGTGGTGTGTCACGTTAGTGTTTGTGGGTACTACGCAGTCGTGGGCACGTTCACTACATTTAATGTAACGTTATATTTGACATGAGTCGATTTTATTAGTGCGAGCCCTGCACTGAGCTGTGTTTTTAGAAATTAACACTGGGCTGTGGGCATTTTATTACACTCATAACACCATCGGCTGTGGCCGGAATACCAGAAAATACTACACTGCTTATATGAATTTATCTGGGTTACCTTGGAAACGGCATTTGTGTGAAGGCAAGTGTCCGCATCGGTCGAGCACCCCTCCTCCTCCTTTAGCTCACGCCAGCGAGCGAAGCGAAAGCTAGACCAATGTGTTAATCCTCAACCTGGCTTTTAATTTGTCACTCTCCCGTTTTCTTTTTTAAGTTTCCTCTGATAAAACCGTTGCCTTCTTCCTTGTAGCTGTTGTTCGGCCATGACGAAAACATACAGACGGCAATCAAACACGAGTTGAGCACTAACGTCAGAATCTGAGGAAGTTGTGGGTGGTGGGGGAAGTGACGTATGCCGTAAAGCGGTCGAATTTTGTAGTTCTTTTTGTGCTTACAAAGTGTTAGTAAAAGCGATACAGACACCTTCAGGATACGGTAGAAGCGTCATTCAACCTATTGTACAGTAAGTCGATCTACCATCTCAATGGGTTTTGGTAATATATTATAAAGGTTGAAGAGTTCCACAGTGTGGCTTTAAATAGCGTATACAAATTAATTTCACACAATCTGCAAATAAACATTGCAACAAAAAAGTATGGGTAACACTTGATAGTACAGTTATAAACATGAACATTAGCAATAAGTAACATTAATTATATTTATACATATAATATAATATTTATATTATATATTACATTAATAATAACAGTTATTTAGCAGTAGCAAAATACTATAATACTATATATATATATACACTATATATATTGTTGCTCAAAATAAACAACAAGCTGCACACAAACTGACTGAGGCCATGAGTAAGGTATCCAGGTGGCTAACTAATTCATGCTTACACTTGAACATTAATAAAACAGTCTGCATGTACTTTACAAAACAAACAACTGTCACTTATGACCCTGAGGTGCTTGTCAACCAAGAGAAGATTAGAGTGGTGCCGGACTGTAAATACTTGGGAATCATCCTAGACTCAAATCTATTATTCAAAAAGCATACTAAAAAGGTTGCCAATATTGTTAAATTTAACCTAGCAAATTTTAAGCATATAAGATCCTATTTATCAATGAAGGACGCAAAAATCTTTCTGAATGCAATGATTCTCTCACATTTCTCTTACTGTTTAACTAGCAAGCAAACAAAACAACAATGCAACCTTTGGAGTCACTTTATAAACAGGCATTAAAGACTCTGGACCGGAAAGGAAATAGTCATCATCATTGTCTTATAATTAAAAAACACAATATGCTCAGCTTTGAAAATTTCATACATTTTGCTGATGCATGTCTTGTTTTTAAGGTACTCCGTGGGCTTGCTCCACCACCACTGTGCCAATTCATAAAACAGAAAGACAAGGCCAATAGAGTTACTAGAGCAACAACAAGAGGGGACTGCATTGTTCAGTATAGACAAAGCAGGTTTGGAAATGCAGTCTTCTCTATTAGAGCCACAATTTTCTGGAATAGTTTGCCCAATGAGTTAAGGGAGTGTAATAGTCTCTTCTCTTTTAAAAAACAACTTAGGTCTTGGTTTGGGGACACTTATACGTGTAAGCATACATCCTATACTTAGGTTTAAAATACACTTGTATGTGTATATGTGGATGGATGTATGTGTATATGGGTTGTGTACATGTATGAATGTATGTAGAGATGTGCGTATGTATATGTGTACATTTTAGGGATGGGGCCGATCCGATCCAGTATCGGTATCGGGACCGATACCAGCGTAATTCACGTATCGGATTTTTCCGATCCAACCTGCGGAGAAATCCGATATTTATGATCCATGTCTGCGCTTTAACGTTGTCTGCTGAAATGACTGCAAAAGGGATTCCCCGGGCCTGCTAGTCTGCTAGCTGGCTGCAAACTGTGGAATGGATATTCTGAACGGAGGTGCAGCTCAATCATAGACTGTAAAAAATAGGGCTCAATGAGACACACAGACCCCCACTCAGGAAATCCATTCCGCAGTTTGCAGCCAGCTAGCAGGATAGGATTGAGCTACCAACATGTTCGCTGTGTGGAAATACTTCACACTGGAAACACCACAGCAGAGCAAGACGGCAAAATGCAATGTTTGCAAAGCCGTATTAATTAAACTATTTGTCTGTGATGCATGTTTGCAATTCGCAGTCCAAAAGAGAAAGAGAGAGATCTCTCACGCAGTCCCACAGCACGCACAACACGACAGCCCTGCTTAATGAGTGACGACAGAGGAAACGTAGCCTGGTTATATCTATGATATTAGTCTGATTTCCAAAGATTAAAGAATATATTGAGGTAAAAAACCATTAAAAACAATAGCCGCATTCTGTCTAGCCAACTTTCTTCCCATCGCGGCGGTGCGCTGTCATTTCTCCTTAATACTAAAACTTTAAGACAGAATCAGCACGATCTGTGATTGTTGTAAAATGCAGGCTCTGCTGTTGCTAATTTGCGGGACACTTTTAATAATAACGAGAGCTATTAAAAGCACAAAATTTGCGCAAGAAATGCTGTTCCCAATGCGCGCGCGCTCCGAAACAGACTGCAACAAGACAAGCAAATTATAATCTGGGCTTCATATGCGCGTCTAAACAATCAAATGTAGCCTGCACAAGAAAAATGTCAAACCGACCGGCTTGGAGATTAACACTTAAACCGTTTATGTCTAAAATGAACGTAGTTATGGAAGTAGTTGGGAGAAAATATGGTGCATCAGTATATGAAATCTGAACTCGTTCTTAAAGGGGCAGCAGTATAAATGTGACGATTGCGACATTACTGAGAGTCAAACAACAAAAGGCAAAGAGAAAATCACTCACAGCTCTTGAATGAATTACTTCAGCTCTAATAAGCATAAATCTATCTATGGTAAGCTTTGCAGTGCTATTTTACTTTTGATTACTTTATTATAATTCTTTTTAGACCGTACCTGAATAATGTTAGTAGACCTTCCTGAAATTAAAGCACTGTGTAGGCCTGTATAATGTGTATCTTTGTTTAATTGTCTATCTATTGTTTAATATATATACTGACATACATACGCACATATCATCCTTGCCTGTAGAGAGGAGTTTATTTCAACATCATATAAAATCAACAATAATGATAAATAATATTAAAGCAAACACAGCTCTGGTATCGGAAAAGTATCGGTATCGGCCGATATCCAAAGTCGGGTATCGGGATCGGATCGGAAGTGAAAAAATGTGGATCGGTGCATCCCTAGTACATTTATTTGCGTATATGTATGGATGAGAGAGTGTATGTATATTTATATATGGCCTGTGTATGTTCTTTATGTTTTTTAGGCTTATATTGATCCTGATATGTCCTGTTCATATTTTATCATATTACTACTGTACTTATTAAATGTATTTTTACTGACTTTTGCATTTTAGGCAGCCTGCTAAGACCTGGCTAGGGACAGCAGATGGAAACTAGCACGAGTAGCTAACTCTGGCTTGTTTACAACATGTATTGTTGTTGATTAATGAGCATTGTCCCTATCAAAAAAAAAAAAAAATATATATATATATATAAAAAATTATATATATAAATTTAAATTATTATATATAAAATTAAAAATGAAAATGAAAAAAAAAAAAAACTTAAAACTAATATATATTAAAATGTAATTTATTCCTGTGATGGTAAAGCTAAATTTTCAGAAGCTATTACACCAGTCTTAAGTGTTACTGTTAGTGTGCATAATCCTTCAGAAATCATTCTAATATGCTGCTTTCACGCTCAAGAAACATTTCGTTTAGTATCAATATTGAAAATAGTTACCACAAAAACAATAGGCAGTAATTATTTAAAATAGAAAACTTTTCTAAATGTCTTTTGATCAATTTAATGTCTTGCTAAACATTAATCTCGTTCAAAAAACAATTTGAACAGTAAACTGTAAAAAACATACATTAATACATACATACAAACAAATACATTACTTTTCACTCACCAAAATATTTTAACTATTAAGTTATATAATTTATATAAGTTCCCTTATGTTCTGTAAGTTCCCTTGCGGTGAGACGCTGTGGGAATGCCCCTGCATGTTTGCGTCGTGAAGCACGTGTACAAAGCTGATGTGTGTCCCCACCTGTGATAAAACAGGACAGGGAACAACGCACCACTTGAAAGCCTACATATGTATGTATACTGTGTATATATATACTGTATATATCTTTCTGTGAAATATTGAGCTTGCAATGAAAGAAAACAATAAATAGACAGGGACAGTATACAGGGAGCACTTGCTGAAGGCACAGACGGTAGCGCTAGTTTTTAGGTGTGCTTTATAGTTTCCTGGTCGATGACGTCACCCGCCTAT